ATTTTGTCTCAGATGTTCAGCTTTACTTCAAGGGTCTTTGTTTTGTTTTGTATGAACTGCTTAGGAGTTACAGCAATTAACTCCTACACAGAACTCATTTACAAATTGAATTTAATGGAATTTTATTGATCGATAGACTGAATCGCAGTTACAGGTGAGACCTGTTTCCTCGTTGTTCAATGACATATTAAGTGGGTAAAAGACCTGATGTTGATTTCAAGTTCTGAACTTGCATTTGGTATCTTTACATTAGATTGTGAAGATATTGCGAGAGAAGATACTTTGAATATCAGTACACTCAAGAACATGATGGCCAGATTAGACTTGCCTGTTTAGTTCTTGACACATGAAACCGAGATTTATTTGTGGGGAAAGTCTAGAGTAAGAGAGAAACAACTAATTGAAGATGTGAGTGCTGATGAATTCTGAAGTGTACTCAGATTCAGCTATATGACATCAAGGGAGGATTTAAAATGATCTTAGCACCTTTGTTAAACCCCTATTCATTAAAGCTAAAAGTCTGCACTGCAATCACATCTTGATTGCTTTATTTGGTTAGCTTTGGTTAGTAGGTTGTTTAGGTCACTGTGTTGGTTTACAGTGATATGATATGGATATATAATATAAATTTGTCCTACTACTCTTTCAACTGCTACTGCTACTACTGTACCTGCTATTCTCATGAAAGTCATATGTCTTGAATCCAACAACGGAATCAGATCAAATGTGATTGTCTAGAGAAAAAATGTAATCTTTTGTGTGTGCGTTCCTCGTCTTTCATGAGAGAAGTCTGGAAATGCTTTAGCTGGGAACTATTTAGTCATTAGCATTGAACATATTTTTCCCACGTATGAAGCAAAAACTAGAGAAACCGCTTCTACCTCCTCCAACCAGTCTGGTTGCAGCTTTCACCAGACTCATGTGATTCATAGAGCAGTGGAGCGTAGCTATAGCTAGTGTCAGGATTGGTGTCGTCAATTCAGTGTGAGACCCTTCCTCTTCTGCTCCTTAGTTACTTCTTTGAAAAAATGACCAGAAAGCTGTTTGTACAACGTGGTCATCTGTGAAATGATAAGAAGATTGGTTCAGTGAAGAGCCTCTTCACTTTTGGCAAAGTCAGTTCTGAAGCTTGCTGTGGTTATCTGATGACCAGCACTTCCACAGATCTGCCATCACCACATTGTTCATTGTGAAATATCCCCACTAACAAGAACTGGAAGAAGGAAATGGAAAACAGGAAATGGATGACTAATGATTTTTCAGGGAAATCTGTTTTTTCATCGCTTCTCAACAAGAAGTAACAGGAAAGACTCGTCCAAGAAAACTCAAGCAAGCAGCGAGGCTCTCCAGCAGCCTGCCTGGAAGCTAAAAGTGGACTAATAGCCTCCACCGCAGAAGCAGTCATGTCCTGCGATGATGGGAGGATCTCTTTCATCAGAACCCTCCGATTAAAAGTACAGCAGAATCACAGTTCTGAAAATGGAGCGTCGCATTCATACTGAACGTCATGCAACACCTCCTCTTTTTACGCTTCTCCGCCAGCCTCGTTCTGAGCGTCCCTTTCTCTCTCTCTCTCCCCTTGGGCATTGATTGTCAATTGATTTCTGTAGAAGCGCGTGCAAGTAAAGGACAGAAAACTCCACGCGGAGGATTCCACAGAAATCAGCTGATAAGCACATAGTTGCAGAACACCTCACTTCACCTTTCACTTCTCAAAATAGTCAGGAATGTCCTTAAAACCAAGACGCTTCAGAGTGAAACTGCGCTACTGTGTGACTCACTCGTCACCAGCCTTCAACTCCCTCCCCACTCCACGAGATACAGCCTGCGCTCAAATGTCAATATCAAATAGAATTTTAAGATAAGTCTTTATAAGAATGGATGACTGATAGCGCCTATATAAGCAAAGGCATTACAATCATTATCGTTACTCATAATCCACTCTATGACTTGGTGTGTGTTCCTCTTCCTCAAGCTGAGGTAATTATATCCTCAATCTAGTCAAGTTTACTTGAATCAACTGTGAGTATTATATTCAGTATGACTCATTGTTTTATGTTTGTTTGTGTGTGTGTGTGTGGCTTCAATTGTCTAGACTCAAAAAAAATTCCCCTAAAGAACACAGAGCTTTATTGGTAAGGTTTGGTTTTCAGCGTTGGAGTTTTGGTTAGCTGTGAGGAAAGGATAGGAGTTTAGGTAAGCTGACAACGTCAGCGCAGAAATGAAATGTGCTCTACACAGTGTGAAACAGTGACACACTGCTCTCACAAATGTCATGAAACTGCTAAATTCAGCCAAATTGTGATGCTCTTAGGTGATAAACCTTTTTTGGAGTCACATGTAGATCACAGTTCCCACACAGTCTGCATTTGCAGTTTTACATGTACAAAAGCAACATCAGTTTACATGAAATCAGACTTTAGGAAGGAAAAGGAAAGGCTTAATCAGCTGGGAAACTGGCACCTGGGGGGGCTAACACCTAGCCTGGTTCTTTCAGTAATTAGCAATATGACAGTATACAATTGACACCAACTAATACGGTCACTTGTGAACATCCTCTATTTTATATCTGTAAATGGAAATGGACTGATTCTTATATACTGCTTTTCTACTCTGCTTCAGCAGTCAAAGCACTTTATACAACATACCTCATTCACCCATTAATACACGCACTTTTTCCACACCTAAGTGATTTCAATCTGAGAGTCACACACATTTACACTTCGATGAACACATCAGAGACCAACCTGGGCTTCAGTTTCTTCACCAGCGATACTTTGGCGTGCAGACTGGAGCCGCCAGTAGCCAACCAGGCCAAACCACCAACCTTCCAGTTAGTAGATCACCTGCTCTACTTCCACCTCACTTTGATTTCTGTAAAAACCAAAGTGTAAACCAGCGGATACCATCATAGCATTCTCTACTACTACATCAGATTTCCTTTAAGCAGTACACATGCCAACAGGAAAAAGCCTTGGAAGGCTGGAAGGTAGGCCAAAAGTACTGAGCCATTGTGTCCACGAGAGCTGCTGAGCCATAGGAATCCATGCCCCAAAGGTTGCCGCAGCAATGGCTTCCTATTACAACACCACACTCTATTTTAGTGAGCTTTGGGGCTTTCACAAATCTTTGTAAAGGCAAACCACATTTCTAGGTGACTGACTTTATTCACTTGTAGCAAAGGGACAGAAAACATGTGACTCCAAAGATTAAGTGGCACGGCCCAATACTTTAGTCCATTGCCAGGTAGCTGTGAACTGTTCACACTGCGTACACTCACACTTGTAAAGATTCATTGGTGTTTGGCAGTCTGTGAATGTCTTCACAAGCCGGATACTCAACATGTAAACAGGAAAACAAGGACTTTTAAATCCATTCATACTGAGGTCTAAAAAGGCTGGTTGTGGGTTCAGGCGGAAGTCCCTTAACTATTGGCTGAGGCCGCTCAGTTAGAGCTGCTCCTACTGCTACTTCTACAGCTTTATTTAAGTATGTGTAAAGTCACAGTTGCATTACTATCATCAGGTATTAGTCACACCCCTTAGTTCATTTTAGGGCAGCGTGGTAGTAACAATGAAGTGTGAATGCTAACTTCCTTTAAAAAAAATACGCACACATTCCAGTCATGTGAGTCGCACTCAGCCAGGTGTGCCACCTGCTGTTGCCGCACTGATTATATCAAAAGAAAAGACAAACCCAGCTTTGATTGGAAAGCAAGTCTCTAAGTTAGTGCTTCTGTTGTTTAGTTTGTCTTCACTGTTATCACCTGATTTCTTTTATTACTTCAACTCACTGTGTTCATTAACATACGATTAATGCATTTCCTACCCTACTCAAAGTTTATTTCTCATAACTCGAAGCCTGACCTTGATCTATCATATATCTGTCTAACCACTAACCCCAAAAATTTCCCACTTCCTCTTGAGAGCATTTTAATCTGTACTGGGTCCAAATTAGATTGAAAAAGCAACACACACACACACACACACACACACAATTCATTACGTGTCACCTCTCCCCCTGATTCTGGTAAGTGTGTCTGTATCTAAGCGTAACAGTCCATTTACTACCAAATTAACCCCACCCACCTGTCACTTTGCCCTACCGAGATGAATCACCAAGTGACGGTATACTGTACAATAACCTTCCCCATTTCCTCGTGTCTGTCTGTCTGTCTGTAATGTGAGGGTGTGTGTGTGTGTGTGTGTGTGTGTGTGTGTGTGTGTGTGTGTGTGTGTGTGTGTGTGTG